GGGCCATAGAGTGTGAAACAACACACGGCTGACACGTGTCACCTCGAAAACCGAATGAGACAAACCTATTGTTTCACTTGTAGTCTGGGCGACAACATGGACCCACAAAATGTGAAACAACACACGGGTGACACGCGTCTCCCGGAAAACCGTGTGAGAAAGAACAATTGTTTACTCGGATTCTGGACGTCAACATGGGCCCATACAGTGTGAAACAACACACGGGTAACACGTGCAGCCCGGAAAACAGTGTGAGAAAAGCCAACTGTTTCACTCGCATTCTGGACGCCAACATGGGGCCATAGAGTGTGAAACAACACACGGCTGACACATGTCACCTCGAAAACCGAATGAGACAAACCTATTGTTTCACTTGTAGTCTGGGCGACAACATGGACCCACAAAATGTGAAACAACACACGGGTGACACGTGTCTCCCGGAAAACCGTGTGAGAAAAAAACAATTGTTTACTCGGATTCTGGACGTCAACATGGGCCCATACAGTGTGAAACAACACACGGGTAACACGTGTAACCCGGAAAACTGAGTGAGAAAAACCAACTGCTTCACTCGTTTTCTGAACAACAACATGGGCCCACAACGTGTGAAACAACACACGGGTGACACGTGTCAACCAGAAAACCGTGTGAGAAAAACCAATTGTTTCACTCGTAGTCTAGACGGCAACGTGGGCCCATACAGTGTGAAACAACACAGGGGTGACACGTGTCACGTCGGAGACTGTGTGAGAAAAACCAATTGTTTCACTCGCAATCTGGACGGCAACATGGGCCCATACAGTGTGAAACGACACACGGGTAACACGTGCCAGGTCGGAAACCGTGTGAGAAAAACCAATTGTTTGACTCGTAGCCTAGGCGCCAATATGGGGCCATAGAAAGTGAAACAATACACGGGTAACACGTGTCACCTCGAAAATCGTTTGAGACAAACCCCTTGATTCACTTGTAGTTTGGGCGACAACATGGACCCACATAATGTGAAACAACACACGGGTCACACGTGTCTCCCGGAAAACCGTGTGAGAAAAACCAACTGTTTCACTCTTCTTCTGGACGCCAACATGGGCCCGTATAACTTGAAACAACACACGGGTGACACGTGTCACACCGAAAACCGTGTGAGAAAACGAATTGTTTCACTCGTCTTCTGGGCGCCAACCTGGGCCCATAGAGTCTGAAGCAACACACGGGTGGCAACAACGCACGGGTGACACGTGTCACCCGGAAAACCGTGTGACAGAAATCTATTGTTTCACTCGTATTCTGGACGCCAACATGGGGCCATATAGTGAAACAACACACGGGTGACACGCGTCACCCCGAACACCGTGTGAGAAAAACCTATTGTTTCACTTGTAGTCTGGACGCCAACCTGGGCCCATACAATGTGAAATGACACCAGGGTAACACGTGTCACCCCGAAAACCGTCTGAGAAAAACCAACTGTTTCACTCTTCTTCTGGACGCCAACATGGGGCCATAGAACAAGAAACAACACACGGGTAACACGTGCCACACCGATAACCGCGTGAGAAAAAAACAATTGTTTCACTCGCATTCTGGACAACAACATGGGCCCACATAATATGACACAGCACACGGGTGACACGTGTCACCAAGAAAACCGTCTGAGAAAAACCAACTGTTTCACTCGTCTTCTGGACGCCAACATGGGGCCATAGAAAGTGAAGCAACACACGGGTGACACGCGTAACCCCGAAAACCGTGTGGGAAAACCAATTGTTTCGCTGGCGTTCTGGGCGCCGACGTGGGCCCGCAGAATGCGGAGCGGCACACGGGTGACATGTGTCACCCGGAAAACCGTGCGAGAAAAACCCATTGCTTCACTCGTAGTCTGGGCGCCAGCATGGGCCCACAAAGAATGAAACAACACGCGGGTGACACGCGCCACCCCGAAAACCGCGTGAGAAACACCAACTGTTTCAGTCGTGTTCTAGACGCCAACATAGTCCGACAAAATGTTGAACAACACACGGGTGACACGTGTCACGTCGAAAACCGTATGAAAACAAACCAACTATTGCACTCGTAGTCTGGACGCCAACCTGGGCCCACAACGCGCGAAACAACACACGGGCGACACGCGTCACCCCGAAAACCGCGTGAGAAAAAACAATTGTTTCACCGGTATTCTGGACGCCAACACGGGGCCATAGACCGCGAAACAACACACGGGCGACACGTGTCACCCCGAAAACCGTGTGAGAAAAACCCTTTCTTTCACTCGTATCCTGGACGCCAACATGGGCCCACAGTGTGAAACATCACAGATGAGACACGTGTCACCCCGAAAACCGCGTGAGAAAAACCAGCTGTTTCACTCGTCTTCTGGACGCCAACATTGGGCCATAGTGTGAAACAACACACGGGTGACACGTGTCACCCAGAAAACCGTGTGTAGACGCCAACATGGGCCCACATAATGAGAAACAACACGCGAGTGACACGTGTCACCCAGAAAACCGTGTGAGAAACACTAGTTGTGTCACCCGTATTCTGGACGCCAACATTGGGCCATCGAGCGTGGAACAACACACGGGTGACACGTGTCAGTCCGAAAACCGTGTGAGAAAAACCAGTTGTTTCACTCGTATTCTGGACGCCAGCATGGGGCCATAAAGTGAGAAACAACACACTGGTGACACGTGTCACCCCGAAAACCTTGAGACAAAAACCAATTCTGTCATTCGTATTCTGGACGACAACATGGGCCCACAGAGTGTGAAACAACTCGCGGGTGATAGGTGCCACCCCGAAAACCGTGTCAGACAAACAAATTGTTTCACGCGTATTCTGGGTGACAACACGACTACGACGACGGCGACGATGGCGACAGGACTAAGGAAATTATATGAAATAGAAGACTGATAAGCCACTAGTGAGACAATGACAATAGTGAGACTATCGTTTTACGATAATGAGACAATAAAAATGGCAATAACAAAACAATGCTAAGACCCTAACAAGACAACCATAAGACAATTAAGAAAACACTACCCAGACAAGTATACCACACTAGTGAGACCGGAGCAAGACAACAACAAAACAATATTAAGACAATTGTAGGACAGCAGCCATATAATACTGAGGCAGCGATAAGACGATTTATAAACAATCGCACGACAATAACAGGACAATCTGCAGGAGCAGCTGACGAGCTTCTAGCACGAAATATCCTAAACGAGCTATGTTTCCAGGTGACCGTCTGGGTTCGGTCAGATTCGAATGCTGGCAGGTCGATTGCCGCCAGGCTCGGACTAGGCAAACTGAAACACGTAGATGTAAAGTATCTTCGTGTGTACGTTGTAGCGAAAGCCCTTCTGACATAGGCACTCAGTTTTTTTAACAAACAGAGCCTTGAGTACCTGAAGGGCCTTTTTGGTATCAGGCGAAGATTCGTAACCATCTCGGACCAAGTGCAGATGGCATACATTATCTGCCCAGAATGCCCACATAAAGACAGGCAATGTTTCGAAACTTTCTGGAAACAGATGCACACAGAGCAGCAAGCTAAATATGATCTGTCGAAGAGGTTGATCAGTCACTAGGAAAACGCACCGATCCAGAAGATGGGCGAGGCTGCCGCAAAGCAGCTGGCGGGCAGCGCAATGGTCCACTACTCATCAGACGTACGATGGCCGCACAAACTGGTGCCACCAGAAGAGGCATGGGCCACTACTCCGGCACCGCCGCCGCCGGCGGAGCCCCGCATCAAAACAGCGGTAACCGGGAAGGTCGCTGGGAAACGATTGACAAGCGTCAGCCCTACACGTACGCGGTCGCGTTCGCGGAGGGGTCTCGTGCGCCGTCGCAGAAGTCGACGGCGGCGAAAATCAGTGGGCGCGAGCCGTCCCCAGCCGGTGATGACCAGGAGTCGAAACCGTCAGAAAACGCAGAGAGATTATGCGCGACGTGCTCCATGACATCGGAAGTCTTACAGTGATGGAGTCTCTCCGGCAGGTGCTGAAAAAAGGTGGCAGGCCGCATGAAGCAGATCAACCAGAAGCGACACGCCAAAAGAAAGATGTCGCGAAACGTAGTCCTGGACATGAAGGTCTCCGCACTTGATTGCATGTATGAGCCCAAACAGAGACGTGATTGTCCAAACGGAACTGAATACGCGATCGCACATTCTGTATCATCGGATTGGTCTGCTCTGGCCATACTTAGAGTTTTAACGAATACGAATTTCTGATTTGGGGTGTCTACGAAGGGTGAGCCCAAGCAGTGTTCTGCCCGGAAATAGCCCAGCAGACAGCTCCTCCCCACAGGCTAAGATCTGAGGGAGCGTGTTAGAAGACATGCAGATGGTAGAGCACAGCATGAGCATGTAGCATCACTTAGCATGTCCGCAGCGCTTGAGCCTCAAGACCAGGCAAGATAATGTTTCCTTCTCTCAGGAGAAGAAAGAGGAGGAGGAGAGGAGGAGGAGAGGAGGAGCAGGAGGAGGAGGAGGAGGAAGAGGAGCAGGAGGAGATCCAAACATGTGACGCACTGATGTTTTCAATACGGCGTCACCTGAAGGCCCGACCCTTTCCAAGGACCGGCGTTTCCCAATGAGCCGTTTTGGACGGTCCTGGGGCCTGAAGAGGGCCTCCAGAGGCCGAAAAGGGTAAAAAACCTCCGTCCTGATTGTTTTGCGACGCGATCCTGGTTGGGGCTGGGGAGGAAGAGGAGGAGGAGTAGAAGGAGAAGGAGGAGGAGGAGGAGGAGCAGGAGGAGGATAGGAGTAGGAGTAGGAGTAGGAGTAGGAGTAGGAGTAGGAGTAGGAGTAGGAGTAGGGAGTAGGAGTAGGAGGAGAGGAGAGATGGAGGAGGAGAGGGAGGAGGAGGAGGAGGAGATGGAGGAGAGAGGAGGAAGAGGAGGAGGAGGAGGAGGAGGAGGAGGAGGAGGAGGAGGCCGAACACGACGAGCGGGCCGAGGACGAACGAGTTGGGGGCACGGGCCGATAAGTCCTTGCCCAGCACCACCAGGCGCCCAAGGTCCTCGCCCGCGGGCGGCCTGTGCTCCGCGGCGACGGCCCCCCTTCCCTCGTCCTCGTCAACGTCCTCCTCACCCTCGTCCTCGCTCCTCCTCTCCTCCGATCCTCTCCTCCGCCTCCGCCCCGCCTCCTCCTCCTCCTCCTCCTCTCTCCTCCTCCTCCTCCTCCTCCTCCTCCTCCTCCTCCTCCTCCTCACCTCCTCCCCTCCTCCTCCCCCTCCCTCCTCCTCCCCTCCTCCTCCTCCTCCTCCTCCTCCTCCTCCTCCTCCTCCTCCTCCTATCCTCCTCCTATCCTCCTATCCTCCTCCTCCTCCTCCTCCTCCTCCTCCTCCTCCTCCTCCTCCTCCTCCTCCTCCTCCTCCTCCTCTCCTCCTCCTCCTCCTCCTCCTCCTCCTCCTCCTCCTCCTCCTCCTCCTCCTCTCCTCCTCCTATCCTCCTCCTCCTCCTCCTCCTCCTCCTCCACCTCCTCCTCCTCCATCTCCTCCTCCTCCTCGTCCTCCTCCTCCACCTCTGCGAATCTCTGCCTCTCAAACGTAACACCACCTCCCTGTCGCACCTCCAGACGTGTCGGCATGGCGGGCTGGGCGTTTCGCCCGAGACGTCCTCGCCATTTGTGATCCTGGAGCTTGGACCTGGCCACGGCTTCACGGATGGACGGGGGTGGTCCTCAGCATGTGGCTCTCGCCTCAGCGCCGCGCAAATTCTCTTCAAACCTTTGCAAGAACTTCACGGGTGGAGGGAGTCGTTTTCGAATGTAGACCTCGCCTCAGCGCAGCTCAGGTTCCTTTTTTCACGCAGCGTTGAGCGGGATAGAGGACAGCTCTTTTTCAGCATGGGATTCTCGACTGAGAGTTCGTTCCATTCGCAAGAGCTCAACTTCAGTGCACACGTAGCGCTGCACGGATCCATGGCAGCTCTTTTTGCAAACCAGAGCTGTCGCTCGAAACTTTCTCTAAATTCACGGCCGTAAATGCGAACTTGTCCAGCAATTTCACGGATTGGTGGTGCGGTCCTTCTTCGGAAAAGGGATATCGTATGACACCGCGCTGAAATGCATGATCAAATGTTTCGCACTCATGATTCCGCGCCAGAGACATGCAACACACACGTGAGTTTCAAAGCAAGGCCCTCGCCAACACGGCAGGCCAAACTGTGCTGGTCTTTCAGGAGAGGTGTTTTCTTGCAGTGAAGCGGGCGACCTGTAAGAGCGTCTGCGGAGGGGACTTGGGACGGGAGGGTGTATTGCCGCATCGCTCTTCCGACTTTGGTTTACTCTGGTCCTCTCCCTCCTCCTCCTCCCTCTCCTCCTCCCTCCCTCCTGCATCTACTCCTCCTCCTTCTCCTCCTCATCCTCCGCCTCCTCATCCTCCTCGATTCCTCATCGTCCTCCTCCTCCTTCTCTGTTGCTCCTCCTAATCCTTCAACTCTCTGCCTCCTCCCGTTCCCTCGCACTCCCCCGCCTCCTCCCGCACCTCTGGGCGGAGGGGGGCCGCCCTAGAGAGCGCTGGACCCTGAAGAGCCCAAGTTCCCTCGCTCGGAACGGTGAGAGCGCGCGGGCTTCAGCCCCTTCCACAGCTGGCACCTTGGGCATCTCATCGGAGCGCGGAGCAGACTTCTCCTCGGAGAGGAGGGGAAGCAGGAGGACGAGGAGGAGGAGGAGGAGGAGGAGGAGGACGAGGAGGAAAAGGCGAGTACGGGGAGGACGAGGACGAGGACAAAGAGGAGGAGGACGACAAGGACGATGACGAGGAGGAGGAGGAGGAGGAGGAGGAGGACGACGATGACGAGGAGAAGGAGGAGGAGGACGAGGAGGAGGACGAAGAGACGGGGGAGCTATTCATGGATCTCACCAGGCCTCCGGGCGGCAGGTGGCCTACTCCGAGCAAGGGGGGCTTCCCCTAAAGCTTCCCTCCGCGATCCTCGAGCTCTACCCCCTCCCCAAGGTCGCAACTTCGGCGGGCCGCTGAGTGTCAGGGCCTCGTTTTCGCATCCAAGACCCAAATATATGCACGTGCAGGAAGCCCGTGCAACATGATGGCAACGCTTGCTTGCAGGAGGAGTTCCGACTAAACACGACGTACTCTTTCCTCCACCACTCCGCCCTTGGCCCCAAAGAGCTCACAAGACGATCCGAGAGGCTCCCACGACGCTTCGAAGAGCCCACCAAGACGGCCCAAGTGGGTTACGAGAGACCTCCAAGACAGCCCAAGATGTGCTCAACAATCTCCTCCAAAGCCAAAGAGGCACCCGACAGGTCCCTAGACGTCCAAGAAGGTCCAAAAAGTCTTGTAGATGTCAGGGCAGCCTGAGAAGCCCCCGAATGAGCTTCCAACTGGGCGCACGCAGAACGGCTCTGAGACGTCAGGAGACCCCCCGATAAGCTCACGAGAGGCCCCCTATTGGCGACTCGAACGCTCCCCAACTGGCGTGGCCCGCCATCCGTACGAAGATCCCGAGAATGCATGGGGCTCCTCCCCACCTGGCCGAGGACGAAAGATCCCCAAAGACTCTCGTGGAGCCATCAAGAAGGGCGCCACGCGTCACTTGTGGCCACCTGTCCTGCTCTTCTTGCTCCCCTGCTCCCTGCCCCCTCCCAACCGCGGATCGGACCACACCACAAGGCTCAGGTCGGGCATGCCCTCCTACAGGCGGATGTTGGGCGAAACATAAGAAAGAGTCAAACACACATGCAAGAATAGTCAAACAATCGTCCCCAGATTATCTTTTTACTATCCTTGAAGATTCCTCCTGTGGAGGGACAGGCCCGACATGACACAAGGCCATGCTCCCAAACCCAGCCGAGCTGCAAGAGCTGCGCGGACCTGGCCAGGCGACTCGGGAACAGACCACGCCTTCTCCGCAGGCCTGCCCCCCCCCCCCGCAGCCTGCGGACACGTGGGCGGCATCGGGGAGACAACACAACATTGAGGATCACGCATGGGAAAGTGACAAGGGGGGGGGCTGGGCTTCTTTCCTCTCCCATGCCACCCAATACTGAGACCCAAAACTTTCCCTGATAAAAAACCGGGTGCGAGCCACGGGAGGGGCACGTCAATTGAAAAACACAATGTGCCCCGGAAGGAGGATCAACACTAATCAGTCTTGAGTAGTGAAAGTTCAACCGCAACACCAACAACAACAACAACAACAACAACAACAACACTCCACACCGCAGAACCTCACTTCAGCCCCAGGGACAGTGAATGACCGTTTGGTCCCCTCACTCTGGTGATTTGAATTCTGCTTGGCGCAAGAAGAGCGACCGACGACTTTTACATGGGTTCCAGGAGCGTTGGCGTCGACAGATCTGGAACTTATATTCCAAGGATCTCCAGCAACAAAAAGTGCTACAGCAGACAGGGACTACACCTTACAGCGTCCAACTTCTCCAGCATCAACGTATGTGGTTTGGGAGGCTTGGCCGCAGCAGCGACGCTGAAGTACTCCGCAAAACGACTTTCCAGCCAGGCAGCATGAGACCGATCACCGACTCTCTCGCACGGATGCCTGGACGTCTCAGGCACGAGTGGGCGAAGCGCTTGTATAGTAATATTGTGAATTGGTGTTGAATCGGATCATGTTATGTCCTGGTACGTCTTTCACAAGCAACGATGGTGACGCTTCGTTGCGGGATTCGTTGGCGTAGACACATGCTTCTGAAGCCGCGTGACGACGTGACGCCGTGATATCCAGCTGCTCTTGCACGTTCTGCTTCACAATCGTGATGCGCCCTGCTTTGCTCCGCCCACGCGCCACTGGGAGCATGGCTTCTTGATTTGTTAAAACATGTTACCCTTCGGGAAGGTGTAATCTGCCCTTCCCCTCCTTGAGGTATATGGCTCAAGAGCAGAAAGTGCAATTATCCGTCTCGCAGGCTGTCCACTGCAGAGAAAGCACCGAATGTGCAAACGCGATGACGAGAATTGGTGACCACAGTCGAGAGATCATCGGTACCATCTCGGTCAAGGTGAACAAAAACAAGAATCACCAACATGAGCGATGCAAAATTCATTCTGTCCTCGGCGGTGACGCAGTCGAGCACCAGTGCATGGCTGCGCCAGAAAACCGCCTGGATAAAACACGGAGGTGGGCTCCACCCCTTCCTCGTCCTCCCAGGTCCCCCAGCTCTGAAGGCTGCTTCGAGCTCCACCGCATCTACACAGCCCAATGGGAGCGGGATCATGTTCTGGAGGGTGCGTTGGAGGCCACTCTCCCAAAAACAAACAGAGAAAAGAGACACCACACAGAAAGAGTGGGAGAGAGAGAGAGAGAGCGCGAGAGAGAAACACATTATCCTGGCCAACGGCCCAACCATATGCAGTTGTGAATACCGCAATTGTGAATATCTTCTTCGGTGGAGCTCCCTGTGGGGCCGATAACCGCTGCACTGGGTGGGGGGGAAAGCATGCGGGCGGTAGCACTGGGGCCGTCGGTGGAACTCCGTGCGGGGCCACGAAACGCTGTACTGGGTGGGGAAGACGCATGCTGGCGGTAGCACTAGGGCCTTCGGTGGAGGAGATCCATGCGGAGCCACGAGACGCTGTACTGGGTGGAGGGAGGTGGGGAGAAGGCATGCGGACGGTAGCACTGGGACTTTCGCTTCGTGACCCCATAGAGAGCACCACCGAAACCCCCAGTGGTAGTACCGCTCACATGCGTCCCCCACATCAAATTTGGCACTTTCACCTACCCAGTACAGCGCTTCGTGGCCCAATAGGGAGCCCCACCGAAGCCCCCAGTGGGACCGCCCGCATGCGTCTCCACACCCAACTTGGCATTGTCACCCACCCAATACAGCGCTTCGTGGCCCATTAGGGAGCCCCACCGAAGCCCCCAGAGGGACCGTCCGCATACGTCCCCCACACCCGATTTGGTATTGTCACCCACCCAATACAGCGCTCCGTGGCCCCATAGGGAGCTCCACCGAAGCCTCCAATGGGACCGCCCGCATGCGCCCCCCACACCGAATTTTGCATTTTCACCGACCCCGTACAGCGCTTCGTTGCCCCATAGGGAGCCCCACCGAAACCCCCACTGGGGCCGCCCGCATGCGTCCCCCATACCCAATTTGGCATGTTCACCCACCCTTTACAACGCTTCGCGGCCCCATGGGGAGCTCCACCGAAGCCCCCAATGGGACCACCGCCCGCATGCGTCCCACACGCCGAATTTGGTATTCTCACCTCCGCCTCCGCCTCCGCCTCCGCCTCCGCCTCCGCCTCCGCCTCCGCCTCCGCCTCCGCCTCCGCCTCCGCCTCCGCCGCCTTCGCCTCCTTCTCCTCCTCCTCCTCCGCCTCCTCCTCCTCCTCCTCCTCCTCCTCGTTTCCCACCCAGCCACCTCCTCCTCCTGCCCCCCCCCATGACCACCCTCCCCTCACCCCCTCACCATCCTCCTCCTCCTCCTCCTGCCCCCCTATGCCCCCTCCACCTACGCCATCGCTCTTCTCATCCTTCTCATCATTCATAGTACGTTTCATATCGTGAGTATTATGTTTCTGCTTCTTCCTCCCCCTCCTCCTCCTTCTCCTCTTCCTCCGGCGACGGCGGCAGCGACGTCGACGGCGTAACAGGCTACACACGAGGACCAGGACAGGGTCACCTCGCGCCTCCTGCTCCTCCTGCTCCTGCCTGCTCCTGCCTCCGACGACGACCACTGTAGGCCTGTACTCCACGGTGGCGATCTGCTCTCCGTCCTCGCACATCGCGAACTCTCCGGGACTCGCCGCAGCGCGCGGTGGGGAGGGGGGAGGGGCGAAAATGGGAGGAAGAGGAGGGAGGGGGAGAGCGAGGGGGGGGGAACCAAGATGGGCAGGAGGAGGAGGAGGAGGAGGAGGAGAAGGAGGGAGGAGGAGGGAGGAGGAAGAGAAGAAGGAGGCGGAGCAGGAGAGCGCAGAGAGGGGGGGGGGGCATCGGGTGGGCAGCGCGCCTCCCGTGCAAGCCGCCGAGTACAAGGCCGCAAGGATGAGGAGGAGAAGGAGGAGGAGGGGGAGGAGGAGAAGGGGGAGAAGGAGGAGGAGGAGGAGGAGGAGAAGGAGGAGAAGGAGGAGGAGGAGAAGGAGGAGGAGGGGAGGGGGGGGAGCGATGAGGGGTAGGGAGGGGACGAGGAGGAGGAGGAGCGGGAGGAGGAGGAGGAGGAACGAGGAGGAACGAGGAGGCGAGGAAAGGGAGGACAATACAGGAGGGAGGGGGGAGACAAACAGTGGAGAAGAAGGATGACGAGCAGAAGGGAGGACGTTCGGACGAGGATGAGCAGGGGGAAGACAAAGGAGATAGTGGGAGAGGGAGAGGACGGCCGAGAAGGGAGAGAGGGGTGAGAGGGAAGGACGGCAGGGACGAGAAGGGAGAGAGGGGGGTGAGAGGCAAGGACGACAAGGAAAAGGAGGGAGAGAGGGGTGAGAGGGAGGGACGAGGAGGAATATGGTGAAGGAATAACTACATATACATATGTGTTAACCATCGTGGGCTCCAAACTGTTTCTAGCAGCCTAGGTTGTGCATTCTAGGTGAATCAATATATGCAGTGCAGTAGACGTGGTGCAATCCATACAATGCATATATGTGGTGCTATATATATATATATATATATATATATATATATGCGGTGCAACATATGTTGTGCAATATGTGTGGAGCAATCTAGGTGGCGCGGTCTATGTTGTGCAAGATAGGTGGTGCAAAACACGATGGTGTGTCATCTATGTTGTGCAACAGTCTCTGTAGTGTGCAACCAGTGTGGTGCAACATATATGTGGCAATACATGTGGTGCAGCCGATGTGGTGAACGATATGCGATGCACATGGCGTGGTGCATCCTATGTGGCGCAATCTATGCTGTGCAATATGTGTGGTGCAATTTATGTGATCCAATCTACGAGGTGCAATTTATTTTGCACAATCTAAGCGGCGACGGGGTGGCGACGGCGACCACAGAGCCGCCAGACCGCCACCCAGGCCCAGACAACGGGTGGCGACGAGGCGGCGACGGCGAGCACGGAGCCGCCGACCGCCAGCCAGGCCCAGACGACAGGCGGCGACGAGGCGGCGACGGGGCGGTGACGGCGAGCACGGAGCCGCCAGACCGCCAGCAAGGCTCAGTTCCGCAGAAGAGAATTAAGAAGCCCTATGTGCAAGCACTGTTTGGAGAACATGCACGTAGAAAGAGAGGGGGGAGAGAAAGTGAGAGAAAGACAGAGAGAGAGAGAGAGAGAGAGAGAGAGAGAGAGACAGAGACAGAGAGAGAGAGAGAGAAACGAAAAAAGAGATAGAGAAAAAGAAAGAGAAGGAGGGCGCAGGAAGAGGAGGAGGAGGAGAAGGAAGCGGAGGACCGAGAGAGCGCTGTGCTCAACACGTTTCTCACTTTCCCTCTCACCCTCCTCCTCCTCCCCCTCCCCCGCACCTACCCCCTCCCCCGCAACTACCCCCTCCCACTCACCTAATTACTACCTTTCCCTCCGCCTCCTCCTCCTCCTTCGCGTGCGAGGGGCCGTGGGAGGAGGAGGACGAGGAGCACGCAGCCTGAAGGAGTCCGTCGCGCGAAGATTGAGAAATGGCGACGACTGCGGTCCGAAAAGCGCTCAACATCCAGCCCTGCACCTCTCCCAGGGACCATCCCGGCCCGTGTCACGAGCCGCGCCCAGCCGCGGCGACGAGGAACTCCAGAAGCGACCATAGACCTTCGACTCCACGACGACGACAACGACGGCGACGGCGGTGGCGGCGACGTCGGCGAGGGCGAGGCGAGGCCGAGGGCGGGGGCGACGACGAGGATGACGACGACGACGACGACGACGACGGCGGCGTCGGCGGCGGCGGCGGAGGCGGCGGCGGCGAGGGCGACCATCACCACGACGGCGACGACGACAACGAGGACGACGACGAAGACAACGACGACGACGACGACGACGACGACGACGACGACGACGACGACGACGACGACGACAACAGCAGCAACGGCGGCGGCGGCGTGCGTCCTGGAGCCCGCCGCGAGCCGCAGGGGCGCGGCGGCGCTCTCGCCCACGAAGGTCACGTCGCCCTCGCTGGGGCCGCCGCCGCCGCCGCCGCCCCCGCCGACGTCGTCGTCGTCGTCGCCGACGTCGTCGTCTGGAGTCGCTGCAATTGTCGGCGTCGCCGGCGTCGCCGTCGCCGCCGTCGCCGCCGTCGCCCCGGCCACCGTCGTCGCCGCCTCCGTCGCCGCCGCCGTCGTCGTCGTCGTCGTCGTCGACGTCGTCGTCGTGGTCGTCCTCGTCGATTCGGATGTTTTTGGTCGTTCCTGGGGGTCCCCGTCGCCGCGGCCAAACGCGGCTCGGAAAACGGGCCCGGATGGCCCCCAGGAGGGATCTACGGACGGATTCTGACCGGATCTCGGGCCGCCGCAAACCTACATTTAGGTCGGGCATGTCCCCCTATAGCCCGATTTTGGACGAAAGCTGAGAAGAGTCAAAAAACGATTCAAAAATAAAAAGAAAAATGGTAGAAAAATCGTCCTCTGATTTTTTGTTTAAGACTACTTGGAATATTCCTCCTGTAGAGGGACCCGCCCGACTTAAACCTACACTCCGGGCGCCCCGCTGCCTCCAGCTGCTCCCCCTCCCCCTCGTCCTGGGTGCCTCGATGTCGCGGGCGGGCCTGGCAGTGCCCCTCCTCCTTCCCCTCCTACTCCTACTCTTAGGTTGGGCCTGTCCCCCTACAGGGGGAACTTGGACGAACGATTACATATAGTCAAAGCACACGCCAAAAATATTCAAAAATCGTCTCCAGCCTATGTTTTGACTATTTTTGAATATTCCTCTTGTAGAGGGACATGCCCGATTTAATCCTACTCTTCTTCACAGGGCACCCTACAACGCACACCACACTCTCGTCGAGAGAGAAGTCGAGGCTGGCAAACTTACGGCGCCCTGCTGAAGCCTCCTTATCCTATTGTTCGTTCTCCTGCTCAGTTGGGAGATTTCTGGTCTTGGGCCTCCAGATGCCTCCTGAAGCTTCCAAAGACCTCGGGCGAGACCTCTGATGGGACATCCTATGAGACCTCCGAACCGGTGGGGACCCTTTGCTGGGGACAGAATCACCGATATTCGCGATCGCACCGCGAGGAACACAACACGCGGGTACCCTCACGCTCTCACGATGACGCTTGTAACAAAACACGAACTGCCAACCTCAATCAACTTTGTGCTGCGTGTTGTCAGAAGCGCGCCCTATGACGTGCCGTGTACATTTGGGACCTGCTAAAGGGCGGATGAGCCCTGAGTAGTGGCGCGCGCACGGCATACTGCCAAACATGTTGCTATACATGAGTTTGCCCCCTTCGTGTAGACGCCATGATCACACCTGGTCTCAGAGGACTGCTGCCAAACTTATGTCTAGATATTCCCTGGCCAAACACACGCGTGCCTCATCCTGGCCTCAGGCGCAACGTCCTGTTTTGAACTCTATCTACTGCATTGTCCAGCAATTGAAGCAACGTCGGCGTTGTTTCTGAAATGTACGGTGCGGTCGCCATGCCGACAATGTTTTTGCTTCACCCATGTTGAACTCATTCGTCGCCTGTCAGTGCTTGCATCGCAAGTCTGTGCGATGAACTCGCCATCGCTCGGACGTCCATTCCCCGTGCATGTTTCGGTTTCATGCGCGTACAATGTGTAGGATGACACAAAATCCTTCTCGAGGGTCCTCGCCAAAAAATTATGCACACGTCCGAGCGATGCCAAGTGAAGGCAAGAGGAACAATGGAATGGGGCAGAAACGAGGACGAGGAGGCATACGATTTTGTCTAGAAGGGAGACTGCGAAGCTCCAAAGGCGATTCAAACAGTTCTCTCTCTCTCTCTTTCTTTCTGCATCTCTCTCCTCCTTTATCTCTGGAGCATCACGTGTACATGCCGTATTGCGCATCGCAGGACGCACGATTTACGTGACGTTCGGAAGGGGCCGGCTGAACACACGAAGTAGGGAGGGAGTTGACAGTTAACACAGACGTGGCTTCGAACCACTCAACACACACAACTTGCGCGACAATTGCAAGACGTGGGCTCAGAAGGATCGTAAGCTGCTGAAACATACGGATGCAAGATTGAGCGAGAAAGACGGGAGTGGTAGACGAAAAAGGGATCAACTATAATGTGCACACATGCTGCACAGACATGTGTACAGAGACAGAGGGCAGGGTGAGAAAGAGCCACAGGGAGAAAAAGAGAGAGAGAGAGAGCACGACTCAGACGGAACACGGGAGGGCTGGCCTCACTAGACATTAACACCATGCCCTCCTCGTGGCCGTCCTCGGCCCAATGTGCACGTGGCAAACACTGCCCGACAGGTGCGTCGGAAGATGTGCGGGCGCTCGGGGTGCTTCTGGCAGCATGGCGAATACAGGACAAACCCGTAGGACACGCGCAACCATGCACACGTGGCCGACTCCCAACCTAAAAGAAGAACATACGACTGAGGCATCAACTGTCCAGGGTCCGCGGGGTCCGCGCAGATGTATTGGATCTGCGCTGGATGCCTTCCTCCCCTGGCGCGCGGAGCACGCCAGGAGGGCAGCGCCGGAGGCGCGGCGGGGACCCGCGCATCTCCAAGAAATCCCCGCGGACCCCCGAAAAGTTCATGCTTCTGCAATGTGTGCCTTCTCCCCGCAGGGATCACGCCAACGAAAGAGGAGCCCTGTGGCAGGGCGCATAGAGACGATAGAAAAAGATGACGCGAACGATGGACATGGCGGACCTCCGCACAGCTTATGTTTATGCAACTGGTCCTTCTTCAAGAAGCGTGGAGGGCCCGCACCGTCCACACAAGCGCGGTCGACTCTTGAAAGGCCCTGAGAATACCAACTCGAGCAGGACCTCCCTCCTGGGGCATACCGCGGGCCCGTGTCGTGTCGACCCCGGCGTTGGTTCCTGACACCGCGGGGATCCTTCAACCTTGAACGATCGGCCGTTTCCGAAACGTCAGATACTTCAACGATGGGCCGATTCTGGGCCGCGGGCGTCAAGAGAGGCTAAGTCCAGTCCAGAGGGCATAAACCCAGACGGAGACCAAGCACGCCGTATGGACCTATTCCGTATGGACTTAGCCTCCTACCGTAGATGGACAAAAGAGTGGAACCCTTGACTCCGCCCCCCCCCTCCCCCCAAATTCAAAGTTGGCCCTAGGCATTCGGCAGCACAGGCGTTAAAGGACAAAAAAAGTGGAACCCCCAGGGCCTCCGCGAGGCCCGACCCAACTTTGAATCTGGGGAGAGAGGGGGGGGGGACGAACGCGGAGTCGAACACGAATGGGTTCTACCTTGTTGTCCCCTTACTGTATCAGGAGAGGCTGTCCAGACGGAGTAAGCCCAAATGGAGACCGAACACTCCGTATGCCCTCACTCCGTATGGACTTAGCCTCCGCCCACGGCGGCGTTCAGCCTCACACGCCCGCGCTGGGGTTGTCGCTGGTCGACACGACGCGAACCAACCGCACCCTCGCCTCCGCCGGGAGCGGGAAAACCCCTCACATCTCTTTCCCGCTCTCTCTCTCTCTTTTGTTTTTTCCTCTCTCTCTCTCTCGGATGATGAGGAGGAGGCGGAGGAGGAGGAGGCGGAGGAGGGAGGAGGAGGAGGAGGAGGAGGAGGAGAGGAGGAGAGAGGAGGAGAGGAGGAGGACGAGGAGGAGGAGGAGATGAGGACGAGGAGAGGGGAGGAGGGGGAGGAGGGGGAGGCATAGGAGGAGGAGGAGGAGGAGAAGGAGTAGGAGAAGGAAGAGAAGGAGGAGGTGCTGCTGGAAGCGGTCCTGGCCCAAAATGCCCCTGGCCTCGCGCGCCATTCCGTGGGGCCTCCCACCCGGGGGCCCTCGGAGCGTCGTGGAGGGCGCTCCGGAGCCCAGCTGGGCCTCCTCCTCCTCCTCCTCCTTCCTCCTCCTCCTCCTACCTCCTCCTCCCTCCTCCTCTCCTCCTCCTCCTCCTCCTTTCTTCCGCCTCCCTTTCCTCCTCCTCCCCTCCTCCTCCCTTCTCTCCTCCTCCTCCTCCTTCCTCTCCTCCTCCTCTCCTCCTCTCTCCTCTTCCTCCTCCTCCTGCCTCGTCCCCGTCCCGAGACTCCCTCGACATCGTGGGGGCCCACTGGGCCAGGGACGCCTCGGCAACACCTGATGGGCGGGGGGGACCACGAAGCTTCGTGCACTTTTTTCACCAACCATCCTATGGTGTTGGGTCCTCGTTTTGAAGAGACGGTCCCCGCGTTCCTCTCCTCTCCTCTCCGCGTCCTCCCCCTCCTCCCTCCTCCTCCTCCTCCTCCTCCCCCTCCCCCTCCTCCCCTCTCCTCCTCATCCTCCTCCTCCTCCTCCTCCTCCTCCTCCCCCTCCTCCCCCTCCTCCCTCCTCCGTTCTCCTCCTCCTCCTCCTCCTCCTCCTCCTCCTCCTCCTCCTCCTCCTCCTCCTCCTCCCTCCTCGAAACTTCGTGTATCTTTTCTGCGTCGGCCGCTAGGCAGAGGGTGACTGCGCTGGCGATGAGTGGCATGAACGAAGCAAATGCTGGGCCGAATTGTGACACCGTGCAGGAGGATGATGGACAAGAGACGCGACCGAAGGAAAACAAGGACGGGGTCATAACGCTCCCCGAACGTGTGGCGTGGCCAGCGCGCGGCAGCTGCTGCGTCAACGAACCGGGGGCGGTAGGCTTGGTGCACACGTACCCTGAGATCCGACGTTGCGAAAAATGCAGCATCGCGATACCTACATCACAAGTGGAGCCCTAGGCCCTAGGCCCCATCGTTCCTGCAATCGGAACGCCGTCCCACGACAAGCCAAACGTGACCTCCCGAAAATAGCTTCAAATGCAGCTTCCTCGGGGCTGCCTGTTGTGCATGTGCACTTGCGGCGACCGTGCTCTTATTCCGGACGCCACCCCTCGCAGTGAACAGGGGTAACAACAAAAGAGGGGGGACCAGCGAGGATTGGGAGAAAGAGGAGGAGGAGGAGATACGTAGCACCCCGCAGTTGCGGATAAGAGTGAGGGGGCGGCGGGGACGTCGGCAGCCTGCGAGGCTCGCAGGCGCCAAATCTTTACAAAATATACAAGGAGCCCGACGCAGGCGCCGGCTTTTTCGTCAAAGCAATGTTGGTGGGTCGCTGGGTGGGTCGCGAGTGGGTCGCGGCTGAGTCTTAGGTGGGTCGCGGACCGGGTCTCGGGGGGGGGGGGGGGGGGCGACGACAACAAACAACAACAAACAACAAAAGACAATCCGCACTCCAGAACCTCACTTCAGACACGCGACCAGGGACAGTGAATGACCGTTCGGCCGCCTCGCTCTGATTATGAGGATGAAGACAGAGGAGGAGGAGGAGGAGGAGGAGGAGGAGGAAGAGGAGGAGGAGGAGGAGGAGGGCGGAGGGGGAAGAAAAGGAGGAGGGAGGAGACGGAGGGAGGAGGAAATGGATGAGGAGGAGGAGGAGGAGGCTCGGCTCGGCTCGGAACCCTTGGGCGCGGCAGGACGGAGGTCTCGCGGCTGTCTCGCACCTGGGCGTCGCTTCGCGACAATCGAACGAGGACTGGTCAATTGTTGTGGCCACCATGGCCTGTCGGGCGCCGCCCGCACGGCCCCAGGGAGCGGCCCGCCGATTGGCGCGCAGCCAGGCGGGTGCCCCCCGCACGGGGGCCAGCTCGCGGATCCGTCACTCCCGACCCACCCTCCAACGTCCCGCCCGTCCCATCCGCGAGCCGTTCCCCGTGGGTGCTGCTGTTGCTGGCACACTCCGCCCTGACCTCCCTCGAAGAAATAAACTCCATCGCAGGGGGTCGGGATGCACTATCCGAGACACGCCTTAAACAATTTGGCTCAGGGGCGACAGGCACGGGCTGGCTCGGGACTGCAGCACTCCCACCTCCCGCTCCTCTCCTTCTACGTGCACGGCGGGTCGGACTCACCACTTGGACGACTGATGTGGGCAAAAGCGGCGATGCGTACACCGTCGCCACTCTCGTGGCGGACAAAACTGCAGGGCTGACAATTCCCCTGACAATCAATGATGCCAGCCTCTCACTGCTGGCCATCAAAGCTAATTGAGAGCCTGGAGCAGGTTGCCTGCCTCTCGCTCCAAGGGGCCCCTCGGCGCTGGCCCGTGCACCGCCTCCGCCGTCTCCACCTTCGAGAGGTAGTCCACTAGGATCGGGCACAGAGAGTTGGCGGTCGGCACCCTCGAGTTCAGCACAAACGACAGGACCCCCTTGGCGTCCTCTCCCGTGGTCCTCGCCTTGCGGTACTTGCAGTGGAGGACCTGCTCCGCGATCTCCTGGGGCTTCTTGGCGACTATTACCTGCTGCCAGTACTCGAGGAAGATCTTGTGCCCGTCTGCGTTCGGAGTCGCCCCCCTCCCCCCCCCCCGACGCCGTAACTTCCGTGCTGCGCTTGACGATGGCGCCGAAAAGGTGGACGTGAGGCGGCCCGCGGGCCTTGAAGTCGACCGACTCGCCGCCCGCGACCCTCTCGCGGAGCCTCTTGCTCTCGCCGTCGTACTCGATGCCACTCTTGCGGCGCACCTGTCCCAGGCTGCCGTCGGCCTCGCTGATGAACATCGTGGCGTAGCACACGCTCTCGAGCTGCGCTGCCTGTCGGGCTGTGGTGAGGGCGAGCTTCGCGATGGCGACCAGGAGCTGGCCGGCCTTCTCCTTGGGGTTGCCTGCCCTGCCCCGCTTCTGGCGCGGCGCCGATGCAGGGGGCGAGGCCGACCTCGCCATCCACGAGGGCATCGCCACGTCCGAGGTCATGGCGGAGACGCTGTCGCGCGAGAAAACACGCCCCCGAGGAAACCAACCAGGGAAGATGATCCCGAAGATGGCTACAGAGGTCGTCGTAGTCGACCGACTCGTACGAACAAATGCGGCCCTCGGTTCAGCTCTGGTCGCAATCGCACTCGGCCCTCGTATCGAGCCCTCGAGGTGTCGTTAGGCCGTTTGCCTATCCCAGACAATCTTCCCACGCGCGATACATTCATTAGACGGGCAAAGCAGAGCAGCTAAATTATAGACGCCGTGCTTGTGTCTCAAGTGTTCGGTGAGACCCCGCTTCGTGCAGAAAGAATCGCCACGTTGCGTCCCCTCCCCTTTCGCCCAAAAACAAACGCACGGGGCAGCGGGGACAGGGGGGGGGGGTCGAGCCCGCCAGGGGCCCCAGGGTCAGAGACACCACGGGATGGGCCAGGGGGCGCAATCGTGGCCGTGAAATGGTAACTGCGCAGACGCCTGAAATCGAGGCGAACGAAATCCTCGGATAATTCTTTATCTTCTATAAGCAGCCAGGGGGAGTCA